TTGCCCCCTCCCCCAACATATGCAGCCTGCCTTGTTGCTGGTCTTGCCTTGTTGTTGGCAATTGCCCCATTGCCCCCCTGAGCTTTCCCTCTTGCCCTATTTCTAGGAGCTTATCCAGGCCTGCTTGATGAAGTGTTTTTATTCTCCCTGCCTCCTCCCTCTCACTTTGCCTCTCATCTTTCTTGCACCTTCCATCAGTGCTGCTGTTCAGAGGCTGGCGCTGAGGTCTACCACTCTTCGGGGGCCCTAGTAGGTGTTTTTCGCAGAGAGTGGGAGTCAAGTGCTCTTGGAATTTTCAATTAATAGAATTACTTATTCCCCCTTTCCTAAATGTTTGCATGTCCAAATTGCCCCTGTCTTTCAACGGCCCAGGTCTGAAGCCACTTCCTCCAGGAAGCCTTCCTTCTCCAGGATACTCACAGTATTTTGTATTTACTCTTATCCTGGCTCTGCTACTTACTAGCTGTGTGACCTTTGGGCAGATTACTACACCTCTCTGAGTCTCAGTTTCTTTGTCTATAAAAGGAGGATAATACTAGTATCTATCTCCTACGATTTTGCCTGGTAAACAGCAGGGATTCCCTAACTGTTAGCTGTTGGTAATATTATCAATCTTAACTTCTCTATAGACTGCAGGCGCTCTGAGAGTAGAGACTGTGTCTTTCTTAGTCATCTCCTGTTCTTACTTGTGCTCTTCATTTGCAGGACCTACCACAGGGCCTGGCACCTAGAGAGCATGTATCACTCACTCCATGAATAAGTGAGTTTGAACCCAGATCCTGATGTGTAGACCGGGAGGGACCATGGCTTGCCAGGATCACGCAGCAAGCTGGTGGTGGGGCTCAGAGATCCTGCTTTCTACTGAATCTCCTCTTCCTGGCTGGCCTCTGCACCCATGGATCTTATCTCCTTTCAGCAGTGGTTATATTTGGTCTGAAGGCTTGGGTGACTGGAGGTGACTTCTAAGAGCCTGACTCTGTGGTCCCAGGAGGTTAGGTGCCCCTTCCCGTCCCGGTATCCCCTTATTCCCCAATCCTTAAAAATGTAGTCTTCCCCTCCCCACCAGTCCTCTGCAGGTACGGGAATGGGATGGAGCCCTTGTCCCTTCCCCTGGTTCCAGCTCCCTGGCCCCCTCTTCCACCCCTGCACCTGTCCCTTGGCACCTGAGGTCTGTCATTAGGGGATGCGATCAGCCTGCCCACTTTATTATGCGGGGTGGTCATGGGTCAGGCGGCCAGGGGGTTGGGAGCCCAGCAGGGCGGTGGGCACAGCGCGGCATGGTAGAAACGGGATGGCGGGGAGACACTGCTACCTAGCCCGAAGGTGACTGAAGTGCCCGGAGAGGACACGAGTGTCCGATCGTTGGCCTCCCAGGTGTCTGGCTCAGAGCCGGAGGGACACAGCCGTGGCTAGGCTACGTGAACCTCCTGGGAGCAGGACAGGTGTGGTGGGGGAGTGGGACGCGGGCCTGTCTCAGCATGCCGTGGGCAGTGACCGCCCACCTAGTGCATTGAAGGGGAGCGTGGTGAGGCTGTATTCTGGGCTCTCTAACCACTGTCCTCTGTGGACTGTTCCATGGAAAGAACATGTGCTTTGGAGTTTTGAGTCTTGGCTCTGCATTTTCCTCGCTATGTGATCTTAAACAGGTCATGTGAGCTCTCCAAACCTCAGTTTTCTCATCTGTAAAATGGGGCTAGCAATAGTACTGACTTCATAGGGCTGTGGGGATTAAGTGCAGTGATTTGTGTGCCTAGCAAAACCTCAGCAAGCTTTAGTTTCTTCTTACATCTTTTCACTTTTTGGCACTTCCCTTCCTTCTCCACAGGATGAGCCCTGAGGCCCCAAAGAAAATCACAACTGCCAGGTTCCCAGGGCCCTGTCTACACCCTGCTCAAGGTTTTACCAGCCATACCCTCCCCTAACAGAGACTGGAATCTAAGAGTTTAATCCTCTTTTCTCCTACTCTCTGCCCGAGCTCCCCCTAGGGGCCAGGCTGCTGCTCATTCTCCCACACAATTAAAAACTCCTCCCTAACGCAAATGCCCAGTTTGGGGAGACTGTGGCTCCTGTCCTGGGGCCTTGGGAAGACCAGACTAATATCCTGAGGTGGAGAAAATGCTCTTGTGATGACTCCTCCTAGCCCGGACCCTCTCTGTGGTATAGACCCCCAACAGAGACACAGAGCTGTGATTAGCACTCATGTGATCCAGCCCCTGCCTTTATAGATGGAGACAGTGGGGGACAGGGGGGCAGTGGCTTATCCAGGTTTGAATAGTGAGTGCACGGGTGACTAAACTGGGATCTGTACCCGGTTTTCCCAACTCCCAATCTGGAGTGCCTGATAGGTCTTCATCCAACATCCTCTGTGGGTCTCTTAGTGGTTTCCAAGCCCTGGGAGGGCAATTAGCCTTAACCTTGTCCCCTTCCTTTGGGGAACTTGGCTTCCAGAGCTGTGCACAGGGTATGGTTGGTGGGGCTATGCATTAAAATGGGTTCAGGGTCTCTGGGGGGGCCACCACATTTGGGGCTGATGGCTTCCAAAGGTGGTAGGTGATGTCTTGGAAGTCCCTAAGTCCTTTCACTGAAGCACTTTGGGGCCTTTCCTAGGTTCAGAGAGCTGGAGATTGGGCAGGGGGGCAGGGAGGGGTGGGTGTTTGGGGGAGGGGTGGGTGTCTGGGGAAGGAGGGTGCTCAGTGGGGCCATTTGATATTATAGAGTTACATCCTCTGTGTCTTGTTCCAGTTCAGAAAACATAAAAATGGCCCTATCTCCTTTATCCCTGTCCAGGTGGTGGAAGCAGAGGTTCCCAAAGGGACAGATTTTAAAAAAAGATTTTATTTAATTATTTATTTGAGAGAGAGAGAAAGAGAGAGAGAGAGAAGAGTGCAAGCAGGGGAGGAGCAGAGGGAGAGGGACTGGCAGACTCTGTCCTGAGTGCGGAGCTGGACGGGGGACTCCATCCCACAAACCCGAGATTGTGACCTGACACAAACGGAGTCAGACGCCTAACCGACTGAGCCCCCTGGATGCCCTCAAAGGGACAGATTGAGCTTAATTCCCTACTTGCCTGCCTGCTTCATGGGCTGGGGCAGGAGGGGAGTGTGTTCTATTTCTCCGTGTCCACTGTGGGAGCCACAGCCTTCAACCTTTCCTGTGTGGCAGGCTGAGTGCAGGGTCCCCCATAAGGAAACTTAGCATATACTAAGGGTGTCAGTACAAACCAGACGCTTAGCTCTGATAAGTGTGTGCATCACAGAAGCTGCGTCTGAGAGTTCAGTGCGGTTTTCAGTTGCGTCCCATATGATGGGTGCACGTAGGGCTGTACCATGGTCTTTCCAGAGCTTGGTGCTTCCAGAGGTCTCATCCTGGCTCTGAACAGATCCATCTGAGGATCACTTGAAGGCTATGGACCCTTTTCCCTGAAACTGCAAATATGTACAGACATTTGGTGTGTACCTTCAGACTTCATAATATCTCTCCTTGTCTCAGAAGGTGGAATCAGGGCACTTCCCCAGCTAAAGCAGGGTGAATTGACCTGCCAGAGGGTAAAGGTAGGGAAGCATGTTTTCTGTCCTCAGTAGTGCCTGGATTGATGTGGGAGTCATATCCTGCCTTGGGGGAACTCCTAATCTGATGGGGGAGGCAGTTGGTACTGTCTAGGAGTTTCTGGGCCAGTGTTCATGGACTGAAAAGTGATGAATAATTACAGAATGACTTAAACTCTTTGGGGGGCTGAGAAAAGGCCAGAGCTCGGGTTGGAGGGCTGGAAAAGAGATAAGCATAATCTGGGAGGACTTCCTGGAGAAGGGGTTCAGGCTGATTCAGAGTGAGGGAAGAGGTAGGGGAGTCAGAGGGAGGTGGTGAGATGGTGCCAGTCAGTGTGCATGCTCAGGTATTGGTGCAAAAGCCAAACCCAGCTGAGTTGCCAAAAAAAGGCACGAGACCCCAACACATCTGCACTGATTTACAGGGTTCACCTTTAGGAACATCTGCTCGTTTTCTCCCCCGACAAAGGAAAATGGTTTCAAACATAAATCCTGGAATGGCTGGGATAGATTTCTCCACCCCTCCCTCTCCCTGATTGCAGGGCCTGAGGGTGTAGGAAATGTGTTGTCTTGTGTTTATCATAGCCAAGCAGAGCTCGGGGAGGCAGGCCTGACAGCCTGGTCGTGTGGAGGTGATATATGGAGGTTCGGGAGAAGGCCCCGCAGAGGGGACTTGGCATTCGTCCTTCAAACACAAAGTCACGCTCGCTATTTATTTATTTATTTATTTGCTGCATGGGGATAGCTTGCTCGCAAGTGTGTTGTGGGCACGAAGCACACACACTGGGAGAGGAGACACTGGGGGTCTGCTCACCTGGGTGTCCCCAGGAAGAAGAAGCCAGTGGCCCCGGTGTAGGGTAAGCCTTGCTGGCCAAGCAAATGGGTGACCCTGCTCTCCTGTTTTTCATTTTTTTGTTTGTTTTGTTTTGTTTTGTTTTGTTTTCCAGGACTTTTCTATGGGTTTCAGGTTCCTATGACTCTAGAATTCTGTGCTGCTACTGTAGACTCCGTGATCGATACTAGGGTCTTTGATTTTGGATTGGGATAATCCAGAATTATTTCCTCCATCAGGAAGTTCGTGATTTTCTTTCTTTCTTTTTTTTTTTTTTAATGAGTCATAAGTTCTTTAGGATTCTTTCTCTCTGTAACAATGAGAAAGGATCCATTTCTTTGTCATATCCTGGAGTCCCCTCCATGAGAAGGGAAAGAGAAGCCTGGGCTGAAGGTCTGCTGCTGGGAAGGAGGAAAACCCAATTGTACCTAATTCTTCTTTGATATCCTCAGGATAGAAGGAACCCCAGAGTAAAACCCACATGCAAACGCTTTCTTCTTGACTCTGAAATTCGTACCATAATTCTTCTATCACTAGACCCAGCTTTTCCTTTGTGACGTCACAAGGGACAACTCCCCTCTGGTATCTGAGAATGTCTGGTCCCTCACTCTTTACCCTGGTCCCCACCCTTGGGGCTGCTTACAGATTGCAGTGCTCGAATCTTGGTTTTGAGCTCGTCATTTGAAGGGTTCTGGGGAGCACGGTGAGGTTGCCTTGTGGGGAGCACTCATCTCATCGTTGAACCAGCCTCTTTGTTAGGAAGGCTGCTCTCTCTTGCCATAGTATCGTTCTCCTCTTATTAGTAGTGGGAGGCAATTATCTCCTAAATCCTTTATTTAGGAAAATCATCATTTGACTTCTTGGGGGACAGTAACTACAGGAGGCAAGGAAAGCTAGGTTATGCTATGGTAACAGTAGCCTGCAGATCCTCATGACGTAATAATATATCGAAGGCGTCCCTCTTCCCTTGCAAAGTCCACTGGGCATGGCCTCTGAGGGACAGTTTGACAGTCTGGGCTGCTCCTGTCTCAGCTGAATTCTGCCATCTCACCACGTGGTGGTCTTGGCCACAACATGGGAGAGACCATCCCGGGGGCAGTCCCGTCCTTGGTCTTTGGTGCTTTGTCCTGGAAGTGACAGACATCTTTCTGCCCACAACCTCTTGGCAGGACTCGCCCTAGTCAGGGTCCCCGGATGACTGGCTCAGCATCCTATCCCTGTGCTCTTTCATGGCCCGGTCCTGTGGGGCGCTTCGGAGGGCAGGTGGAGGCCTGGGAGTTCGCTGGGGCCGCGCAGCTCGGGGTGCTAGGGCCCGGTCCTGGCCAGCCTCTAGCCTCTGACTCCATCCATCCAGGGCACGAGGGCCAATTAGTCAGCGCGCACCATTATGCTGCCTTAACAGCCACTTTAGATGCAGCCAACATGGGCGTTGGGTGGCAGCTGCGATGGACGGCAGCAGCTGTAATTAGCAGAGAACTCGGGGAAGGACAAATGGGAGGCTTTTATAGTCAAGCAAACCTCAGAATTGAAATAACTCTGCTAATTGTGCTTCATGTGCTTATTAACATGACTTCAGGCAGTCAATAATACCCCCATCCGCGGGTTTCTCTTTCCACTGTCTTTGGGGCTGAGAAGAACGGCACTCTCACTGACTGACCACCTACTACGTGCCAGGGACTGTTCTGACTAGTTTACGTGTGTCCCCCTCATTCGGTTCTCACAGGAAACTGAGGGGCCCGACAGCGGGGTTTCTTGCTCGGGGCTCAGCAGCCTGGTGGCCGTGCTCTTCATTGCTGTGCCCCGAGAACAAAGCAGATTCTTTGTGTAAGGTGGAGGCTTCTCTCCTCATGTCTTGGAGATCCCAGGAGGTATGGAGGGAATTCTGCAGGTCCGTGAACTTGGAGGTGAAAAAGTCACGTCTTTATTTTCACCAATCTTTACCTGCAATCGAGTCTTTCCCTTTAGTATGAATGCAGGGAGCAAACTGCTATAAGTAGAACGAGCAAGACTTGGGATTTGTCACCGATAGGAATCACAGGCATTTTCATATTATATTATATTTACTGTCTTGAAAAACAACGTTTGCTCAGCACTACTTCCTGCCACTAGATCTTGTCATTTAATGCAGTGTTAAAGAGGTACATATATTACACTGAACACACATATATTTATTTGTTTATTTAAATGTTTTATTGAAGTGTAGTTGACAGGCAATACTGTATTAGTTTCAGGTGTACAACACAGGGATTCAACATTTCTATTAGGAGTGATCGCCACGAGAAATCTAGCAACCACCTGTCACATGCAAAGCTGTTAGATATTATTAACTGTGTTCCCTATGCTGTGTGTTGTATTCCCAGAGCAGATATGTATTTAAAAAAAAATGTCTCGATAGTAACTACTTTGCTATAATTGGTTCCCTTTGCAGTTGTACATACTTTATTTTGTGTTTTTAAAGGCGACATCCCGTAGGCTTCCACAGACTGTCAGAGGCTTCCAGAGCACGAAGAGGGTCATGAACCCCTCTGAGAGGGTCTCTCTGAGCCTCACTCACTTGCCCCAGAAACCATTTCATCTGGAAGTGAGTGGGTTACATCCTGGTTGACGCTCTTCTTACTTTATATGAAGCTAGTGGCAATTGCTTGAATATGCCAGGTTCTCTCTCTTTTCCGCACCTCTGTGCAAGCTGTTCCTGTTGCCTGAGCAGCTGCTCCTCTGCCCCCACCCCATCACCTGGCTCCTTGGGTTTACTCCCATCAGCTGGAGTGCAGCATCTGCCCCCAGCCTCTGGGGTGGCCTCCTGGCTCCTCCAGGCTGGGTTAAGTGGGCCTCCCTTGTGCCTCCCCAGGGTAAGCTCCAGGGTAGTAATGATCCCATTGGATCAGCTTAGAACACGTTAACTGTGATGGGGCACTTTGGAAAGGCATCCTTCTGGAACACTGAGGTGCTGGCCAGGGTCTGGCTAGGCTACCTGGGTCCCTACTCTGCTTTCTCCTCTGGATGACAGTGTGGCCCTATTAGTGCCAGGTCGGCTTTACAAATAATCCCGAGTGACTGTGAATTTCTGGAAGTGTGAGCACAAAGACCGTCAGGGTCAAGTGTCTGGATGGTGCCATAGCCCTCAAGCAGAGAAAGCTCATGGTGTCGCTGGGGTGGGAGGACTCTGTTTTTGTGAAATTCTCTAGTAGCCTTGCGACCCCCTGGACCCTCGGGGCAGCAGCTCCTGCTTAACAGTGTGTGTCCAGGACCCCTTCCTGCCAGCTCACTGCAGACCCCCCGCTGCAGGAACTTGCCAAGCACGTCACCTGGAAGAATGCCTGTAATCCTCATAAACCCCTTAGAGGGAGGCACTGTTATCGAGATTGTACGTATGAGGAAACTGAGGCAGAGAGGCTTCATCTGCGCCTCATCCAGGATCACACAGTGGCAGAGCCAGGAGCAACACCCCCACACTCTGATTCTGCAGCCGCAACTCCGAACACCAGACCTGTTGTGTTGCCTGTGAGACACCCGCTGCAGAAGGCCTTGTATAATTCAGAAACTTGCCTAATTTAAGACAATCCCTGACATGCCGGTAGGTGTTTCTGCTTATCAGCTAATGTGGCATTGCTGTGGGGTGAGCACGCGAACACGGTTCACAATTCACTGGGCCTGCCAGCTTCCACAGTCTTCATGCTTAAAAAATATTTGGGGTAGACATTATTTAAAATTTTGCATATGAAGTGAGACTATATTAATATCTTCATCACGGTGTCAAATCCACATACACACAATCTCGTAAAACTGGAAGGTACTGTGCTGCTGAGTAACTGGATTTTAATCAGCAACGGAGCCTGGACCGGGAGCTGCTACAGGGAAGGTGTATCCTAATTCACGTGTGTCCCTGTGCCTAGCACGGTCTGGCGCCTGGCACATGCTCAGCAGCAAAGGGTTAAGGGAACGCTGTCTAACTCAAAGCAGTACAGTTCGATTGGTTGTGATTTCTTCTTTGGAGGAGAGTCACTTAAGCTTGTATTTCTTAGTAGTTTTGTTCATCCTGGATTTACCACCTCCTTCTTTTCCATCCCTAAAAAGGGGAAGAGAAAGAAGAGACATCAGTAACTGATAATGAGAAGGGACAGGGACAGAAGACCTGAGGATGAGCAACAGGGCCAGCGTGTCATCTTAAAGATTGGGGCCTTCTTTGTTTAGGGCATGGGCATGGTTTACGTACCTGTCGGGGTGTCTGCAGCAATGGAAACCAATTCTGCATAACTTAGCAAAAAGGGGATTCAATTTAAGGTTCATGGAGCTAACTTGGGGGAGGGAGGCTAGTCTTGGGGACAGGAGGAGCCCAGGGGCTACTGCTGAAAAGGAAGTAGGAAGAGGACACGCTGCAGCCTGGTCAGGGTGCTCCACCAGGGGTGACCCCTGACCCCAGTACACACAGCGGGAGGCTTCCTAACAGGGAGGTGAGGTGCTAAAGGGAAGGGGATTTGAGTGCTGGTGTGACAAAGGGGACATGTATCCACAACTTGCATCTCCAAATTATCAGGTCGAGGGGACTGTGAAGGTCATCTAATCCCTCTTTGTGTCACCAATGAGGGAATGGAGTCCAGCTTCATTTCCACTTCATTTCCAGTTGGTGACAGAAGCAGGACCCAAGCCCTCACTAGGTGCTCTGTGCAGAGAGGGGGCAGAAATGTTTTTAACACTTGAAAGGCCTTCAGAGCACCATCCTTCTTTATCATGATGGGTCAAAGTCTCTCTTGTCAACATGCCCTGATGGGGCCTCCTTCCCTCTCACCCCAGTTCCCTCAACCCAGAGGTTAGAGGGTAGAGACCCTGGTGCACTGTAGTGGGTAGAGGGCACTCTCACACCTGGGCGTGTATGTGGTGGGCGGGTTATACAGTCCTGGTAGTCCCTGGCCGAGCCCACCCCTGCCACGCTTCTGGGTGAGCAAGAACGAAGATGGGATGAAGGCCTCGAAGGGCAAAATAAGAGGAAGGGACATCCCGGAAATGTATAAACCCTAGGTCATGTAAGAAGGGTGTTTTTATGTCCTCTTGTGTGCTACTTGCTGTAAATACATGAATCCCAGCTAACTTCTACTGCCAGAAGACTATAACCACTGCTCTCCTTGCCAATTCATTGGGCTTTATCCTGGGTGGGGGTAGGGAAGGGCAGGGTAACTAAGATTAATTGAACATCTACTATATGCCAGATTTTCTACTTAGATAATCTCACCTAATCCAATATTCCTACCAGTCCCTTGAGACAGTTATAATGGCTTCATTTTATAGCTGAGGAAGTAAGTAAGCCTGCCAACTGAGAAGGTTAGAGCCCAGGGCTGGCACAGTGAGCTCCAACTCTGGTTCTCATGTAGGTATGTGTATTATTCAGGGTTCTCCAGAAGAGTAGAACCAACAGAACAGAGAAAACATAATTATATTGTATTGATTGATTGTAAGAAATGGCTCATGTGCTTATGGAGGCTGAGAAGTCACCAGATCTGCAGTCAGAGAGTTGGACTCAGGAGAGCCAGTTATGTTGTTCCAGCTCAGGTCCAAAGACCCGAGGACCAGAGGAGCTGATGTCTGAAAGCTGCCAGGCTCAAGACCCCAGAGAAGCCCATATTTTGAGTCCGAAGTCCCGGAAAGACCTATCTCCCAGCCCAGTCAGTCAGGTAGGAGGAGTGCCCTGTCACTCAACTTTGTCCTATTCAGATCTTCCTCTGATTGCTCAAGGTTTGCCTACATTAGAGAGAGCACTCTGCTCTGCTCAGCCTACCAGTTCAAGGGTCAGTCTCATCCCGAAACACCGTCACAGACACATCCGGGAGAATATGTGACCAAATGTGTGGGAACCTTGTGACCCAGTGAGGTGAACCCACAAAATGACCCATTGCAGTGTGGCACTGGGGACAGTGAGAGGAGGGGCCTTGGATGCCATTCTATTCCCTCTTTGCAGAGGAGGTTTTGAGAATATGTGTGTGTTGGTGGGGGGGAGGGTTACCCTTTTCTCTGCCCTTCCCGAGGAGGGTATGTGGGCATTCCCAGCACACAGCTAGATCAACACCGCAGGTGGAAGCCAGATCATCCTTCTTGCGGATTAGCTCCCCGGCGCTGAGGTCTCCTGGCCAGAAACAGCAGCCAGGGCCCCCCGGAGAGGAAGGGAGTCAGCAGGGGACCCATCATTTCTTATCCTGAGACTGAACCAAGCCTGCAGTCCTAGTGTCCCTCACCTTGGCAGTGTGGTCACAGGCTTGGTACTTGGACTGGGAGCTGGGCCTGACTGGTTCCTGGCACAGGCCTCCTACATACCTTCTCTCCTTCTCCTCTGTAAGAACCCTGCCCAGAGCCCCCCAGAGTAAAGACTGCTGTTCCCAGCGTCCCTTGTAAGTAGGTATGGCCTTATGACCAACTTAGGGACAATGGGCTAAAAGCAGAAATGGTTTGTAAACCTTCTGGGAAGTGTCCTTAAAGGGAGGGTGACATTCTCCCTCCCAGTTTCTTCTGTCTTGCTGGCTGCCATGCAGATGTCATGACTAGCACCGGCGCAGCCACACTGGGCCATGGGGTAGACCTCAGAGAGGCCGTGAAGCCACAAGGCAGATGGAGCTGACGTCCCTGACCCGGAGGCACCCTAACAGCTCTGGACCCCTCCGAAACTAGGAAGTGACACCTAAACTCCATCCAGGTTTTTATAGCCTGTCCCTTGCTGCAGGATCTGGGGCAGTGGCTTGGCCTCTCTAGACCTCGCCTGATTTTGGATAATGATAACCGCACGTGGTGTGACTCCTGTGCAGGGCATCAGGCGTGAGTGGGCAATAGGGGACAGGATGTGGAGAGGCCAGGGGCTTGGTTCAGCATTAGCTGTTTGGGAAGAAGGTGGTGGAGTGAATGGGGAGGCAGCCTAGAACAGGGTTGACTCTTGGTTTGGGTACTTGCAAGCCAAGTGACCTTGGGCAGCTTGCTGTCCATGAGCCCGAATGTCCTCATCTGTAAGTTAGAGACGGTGATGCCTGCTTCACAGGTTGTGTGAGAATCAGAGGCAATGTGTGTTGGGAGCCTGTGCTCTGCAGGAGGCAGGTGCTCTGTGAATGGTAGCCCTGACTTCCGTCCTTGGTCTGAGGGTCCGGAGACCTCAATTTTTGGGGGTGCCATTGAGGTCATGGGAAGTCACTTAACTCTCTGGACCTCTTTACTCACTTGGAAAATGTGGGGAGAGCTGGGATTAGATTGCGTGAAGTCAGAGGGTCCTTTTCAGCCCTGGTTGTCAATCTAGTCCCCCTTTGCCCACACTTTTTAGACAGTAAAACTGAGGCTTCATGTGGCAGAGACAGCTCGCTATGCTTCCTTTCAGGGTGGGGTGAGTGTGGGAGAACCACTGCCCCACAGGGGAGCATCGCCCTGTTTGCTTCTCACAGAGGCAACGTGAGCCGAAGGCATGTGTACTGTTTCTGGGCCAAGATGGTTACCACACGGATGTATCTTTCCCACCCTGTCTTCCCCATCTGCCAGCTGGAAGTCCAGGCCCAGGGCAGCCTGGGAGGATGGTAGAGCCCCTCTTGGCCTGCGCTGTCAATGACGATGGGGGACGTGGTGCACGGCACCCTCCCTTGTCCAGCACTGCTTTGGCCTTTGTGTGAAGAAGACATCACTTGGCTGAGATTTCAGGGTTCACCTGTTAGAGCAGCCAGTGTTATCTTCACCAGTACACTCCAGAGCTAGAGTGACTTGTCCAGAATCTATGCCTTCTCTCTGGCTCTTGGTGCCATCCTGTTTGACAGTCTTCTCCATTAGGTTGCTGCTTCCTTGAGAGCCAGAACAGTGGCTCATACCACTGCAGACTGATGACACCCAGTGCGGGTTGTCTCATCCTCCCACAGGGATGGCCTGCCTGTGGGCACCAGGCAGGGGCTGATAAAGACCTGGTAGTTTGCACTGAGCATCTACAGGGCACACACCTGAGTCCTACCAGGCTGCAAGCTGATCCCACAGATCACGTGCTGTACCCCGCCACATCCCTGCAGGCCCCAGGGTGTGGGAACCCCAAAACAACAGGCAAGGGAGCAGCTAAACTCTCAGATGAGGGAAGCCTGATTAGGGTAGGACCCAAGGCCTTGAGGATCTAGGAGGGGTGTCTGTGAAACGGGGGATAACTTTGATACTTTGTGGAATTGAGGATGGACATCTGGACTGGGGCCAAAGCCCTGATCTGAGTCCAGCTCTGCCCCCCAACTTGTGTGTGACCTACAGAAGACCAAGGTCACCAGAGAGTTGTTGACAGGAGCAGGGACCAGAATCCAGGCTCCCCTCCAGCCACAGATGGGTTCTTTCCGGAAACCACTGCCCCCTCACTCTCTCTTCCCTCCAAGCCTGGGCATCCCTGACTGGATGCTAATGGAGGGAGGGGGTGAGGAAGCGAGGGAGCTGCAGAGCAGGGAGAAATACCGGGGGACTGGGGAGCCAGTGGCTAATTAAAGTCTCCATGTCAAAGAGGAATGCCAAGTAGGTAATTTCCATGCCATTTGAATAATGGGAAAACGTTTACCATTTCTCAAGTTTGCTTGTTGAAGAGAGAGGGGAAGAAGGAAGGAGGGGGAGAAGATTGTGGCTGGAGGGGCCTCTCCACACTACTGGAGAAGGTGGGGGTGGCGCAGGGGCCCCGAATTGCTCCCGGGAGGCAGAGAGAGAAAGGGAGAAGGAGGGGGCCAATGCTCTGCCTTTCTCCAGAAGGTCCTGAGAAGTTCCTGAAGCCCGGCTCAGGGAGAGGGCAGCCATGCTGCATGGTGGTGATGCTAGGTCCTAGTGGAGTTCAGGAGAGACCTCCCATGGCTGTGCCACACTTCATAGTTGGCATCTTTCGTCCACCTAGATTGCCTTGAGGCACTGCTGAGTAAGCGAGGAATGGGTGATGGTGATGATGATGGTGGTGATGGTTCCTATCTTAGAGGTATGTAACTGAGCCCCAGAAAGCAAGAGCAAATTGCTTAAGGCCACATTTGTGCATTTATTCATTCATCAATTTGACAAAATAGTTTCTTGGGGCAAGAGTGCATGCCAGGCCCAGTGCCATGTGACAAAGGCTGTGGATGAGGAAGATATGGCCCTGCCTTCCAAAAGCACAGTCTGCAGGGGAGACACATAGGTGAAGGCACAAGTCACTGGGTGCTGTGGGTGCCAGGCCAGACAGCCTGAGCTGCTTGCCTGAGGCAGCTGGGTGCATCCCAGAGGGACAGGCATTAGGTTTCAAGCAGGAACTTGCCGAGTGACTGAAGGGACGGGCATATTCCAGACACATGCAAAGGTGTAGAGTCCCAGGAGGGCTTTTTTTGTCTAGGGAACAGTGAGAGGCCCAATGTGCGGGGACAGTAGGGCTCGGTGGGTTGGGGTGGGGTGGGAATGTGGCTGGAGGGCTTGGTGGGAGAGGCTGAGACCACTGAGGCAGATCCTTGCCACATTGTGGAGGGCCTGTGTGCTTTGCTAAGCCACGAGGATTTGATCTTCCGGCAACAGGGCCTCAGGGAATGGCTGAACAGGTCCTGGATGTCACATAGCCGAAGCTACTGCTATATCCTTGCTCGAAGCCGGCCCTAAGAACCTGTTTTCCCAGCCCAGCCTGCCCAGCCCAGGCTCCTGGGCTCCTGCAAGTCATGGGGGCCCATGCATAGAAAGCCAAGCTGTGGGGTAGAGGGTCCCTGCTTCTCTGGCCTGTTCCTTCTTATAGCAGTTACCTGTTGATGCATAACAAATTACCCCAAAACTCAGTGGCTTAAAGTGACAGGCAACATTATTGTCTCATGCTTTCTGTGGGTTAAACATTTGGCAAAAGCCTAGCTGGGAACCTCTGGCTCTGGGTTTCTCTTGAAGTTATGGTCAAGATGCTGGCCCAGGGCCGCAGTCATCTGAGGGCTGGGATGGGGCTGGAAAGCCCACCCCAAGATGCCTCTTTCCAAGATGGCTCTCTCACATGTCTGGCTGGTGTGTGCTGGTGGACCCCTCTAGGGCTGCTTGAGGTCTTCACAATATGGTGGTGGGCTGTCCCCAACGTTAGAAAGAGAGAAAAAATGGCAGTGGCAATGGTGATGTCTTCAACGACCTAGCCTTGAGGTCACATGCCATCATTTTGCCATAGCCCCTTGGTTACGCGATGTGGGAGAGGATTATACTAAGGCATGATCCAGGAGTTGAGGCTAATGGGGGTCATCTTGGAGGCTGCACACCACTCTCTCCCTGAGGGAATTGCATACAGCAGCTCCTATAGCCCCACTAAGCAGCCTGGGCTGGGGAGATAAGGTGGCTTCCTTGGAGACGGAGGGCAGGTCACACCTGGCTCTGCTTCCAACTTGCTGTGTGACCCTGAGAAGTTTCCCAAGCCTTCCTGGCCTGTTTGCTGTCTCTGTGATGTGGGAAGAACTCGTCTGCTCTGCAGGGCTGGGAAGGCATAGAGGACCCAGTTTCTGAGGGATGGATGAGAATTGCAGAACATGGAGTCTTCTCTCTTCTCATTCTTAATCCTGTTTCTTCACACAGTTGGATAATCAGTTTTCCTGGAAGTCTTTGCAGCAGTCAATTTGCATAACCCCAAAATAAGCACGGTTCCTTCCTTTAAGCTAACTCTCAGCTGTAAATATCCAGCTGGCTTTTTGGAATTTGAACCAGTGTGGTTTAACTTTCCTCT